AAACAACAAAAAAACACAAGACATTAAGTAAATTAATGTATGTACGGAACGGGCTGCTGACGGCACGGTGTCCAAGGAAAGAAATCACTCCAGGCTGTCAGCAATGCTTTTAGCAATGATAGTGCAGTCTCTAATGCAGTTGAGCGCATATTTATTCTTAATTGTGTTCTTGAACAATGCCGACATATTGATTGCAATTGGTCTTTTTAAATGTGAATTCCCTGTGTGCGAGCAGTCAAACAGATAGTTATCTGGGTCACCAGTACTGCCACAAATACACTGGTCACTGTCTCTTAGGCGAAATCTGTGAAGATAGGATATATATGGGCCATTCCCTGTCAGATACTGTGTGAGGTGCGAAGAGCTGCTATTTAAATTGTGGTTAACTTTTGGTTGGAAATCATACAGTCTTCTGCCTGTGGTGCTTGTCTCTCAGTAGTTTTGCCACTGCATCATTAGTTCACATTTGAGAGTAGTTTTCAGATATGAGTGCGGAAAGGGCACAGCAATGCTACTCACGTGGGGTTCATTGGCTGCAGCTTTCGCAATGATATCCGCTGTTTCCTTTCCTTTAATCCCCGTCTGGGCTGGAACCCATTGTAGCTGAGACTTGCAGGAATCGAAATTAATAGTTTTTGCATGTCTCTGACAATGGGATGTCTACTGCAGCCGCCCTGGATGGCCTGCAAGCTTGACATTGAGTCTGTGTAAATTACTTTATACCTGCCATTGTTAGCAGTAAAGTCCAGAGCTGCCTTTAGGGTTGTAAGTTCTGCCTGAAACACCGAGTTACGGGGATGAAGCTTCTTAGCCCAGGAATGGATTATGTGATCACCCTCCATTGCACACCAAGCACTGCCAGTCCCGAGTTCTCCTTTGGAACCATCAGTATATACGGCTAAGGATTGTAATGCACTTGGAGGATTACAGTTTGCTTCTATATCGAAGTCTGCAGGGTGGCAAGGAGAGTGGGCAATGTGATTCTCGTAGTCCGAGGACACATAAGTCTTATACTCCAAATAGCAACGTCTTGTTTTAGTCTGACCACACTCACCATAGCTCTCTCGCTCTGTACTGTCAAGTGCAGGGACGGAAGCCCAGCCAATACATTTAATGCAGTTGTAAAAAAGGTACGGAATCCTCTGCAGATGCCCAGAAGAAATGGTCTTTGCGCGGTGTTTAATGCATGTTGCATGTTAATCGGGACATTGACGCCCCATATGGAAACGCCATGAAGAGTTATGCGCTCAGCGACTGCCATATTTTGAGTATACCATATTTTGAGCATCTGCGAGGGGACACCCCCAGTTAGCATCAGCTGTTCTCCGCATTGTATTAGACGATTTATGCAGCCTTTCTGTAAGATCCTTGATGTAAGGGAGCCAGGAGAATCTGTCGTCTATAATCACACTCAAGTAACGGAAATGTCTCACGAATTGTATGTTTCTGCCATGAAGGTTTACGCAAGGGTTACGCTCGTGCCTTTTTCCTAGGCTAATTAGCATTCCTTTTGTTTTGCTCTTGAAATTGTGAGCTTATGTTCACTGGTCCAGCGGACTATTTTGTCTAACGCTTTTTGGGTGTTTACCTCGTAACTTTTACGGCTGTGACCGTTTGAAATTAGCAAGAAGTCGTCAGCATACTCTATTTATTCTGATGTTTCATCATCATCGAACAGTTTGAGAGCGGTGTCTGCTACCAGGTTCCACAGAAGTGGCCCTAGGCAGGAGCCCTGTGGGCAGCCTTTCGTCACCTTTTGCTTGTGGACGTCTTCGTCCGTTGTAGCTTGAATTCGTCTTTCACTCAGGTAGCTGCAGATCAAATCAAATAAAGTTTTGGAAAAATTGATATCTTTGAGACATTTCAAAACATCATGCCACCACAACGAATCGAAGGCACCTTGAATGCCTATGCTGATGACAACGGTATGCAGTTTATTCGGCTTGTATCTTAGTACCGTGTTTCGTAGGTGATTCAGTGCGTGATCTACTGACTTTCCTACTATAAAGCCATATTGAATAGTATTTATGAGTTTATTAGCATGAATGCAAAAATTCAGTCTGTGAAGTACTATTCTTTCGAGGATTTTTCCCATGACTGGGAGCAGGCAGATGGGCCTATAAGAAGCAACTTCGTTTGGATCTTTATTTCCCTTTAGGAAGAGGGCAACTTCTGCTATTCGTTTGCCTTTTGGAAAGTGGCGAATTCTCCAGCATGCCTGTAAATAGGAGAAAAGTATTGCCGGATGCGTGTTATGCATAGTTCTGAGAAAGCCGTTGTCAAGTCCATCCGGACCTGGGGCTTTACTTGGATTGAGCTACTTGATTACGTCATTCAGTTCCTTACTTGTTGGAAGAGGCTCAGAATCAGCAATCGACGAAATATAATATTGTTCAATACTAGTTCGTATTTCCTTCTGGGCTGTAGTATCTTTATGGGGATTATCATGCTGGAAAATCGTTTCCATTATATGTGTCACTATCTGGGAACTAGTGTTAGCATTCTGACAGATTGACGTAGTTAGACTGGTAGGTTTGAAGACCTTATCATGAGCAACTTTGAATAGTCTACCAAACTTTTCTGTTGCGTTCGTACAATATTTTTGCCAACATTCCAGTTTAGTCTTTGAAATCTTCCGTTTGTAGACTGCGCGGTTTTTTCTGAATATCATTCCCAGTGCCTCTCATTCATTTGAATCGCGGCAACCTTGAAAACGGCGCCTAAGGGCCCGAACTTGCCTCCCTTCGGCTCTCATGCCCCTTAACTGAGGATATTCATATAAAATTCCCAAGAACTGACCTCCTGGCATTCCAAAGATTTTTAATTAAAGATAAACATCAATATCCAAAGTTTCAGAAAATTATGCAACGACTCTCTTCCTACGGCCTAGATCTCTGTCAAGTGTAAGTTCACATACAGTTTAAACTTAGTGAACTTTTACATGCTGTGATTATGGACAATATGGATCCGCTCGTGAACTTTATAAACTGCAATAAACCAATATATCTGAAATAACCCATGGACACCAACCTCTTTAGCATTATTATAACAATTCATTTAACATTGTGTTGCCAGTACTAATTATAATTATGTCATTATGTTTATTTGTTTATTAATTATGTTTATCTGCTATTTTTTGTTGCACCAAATCAGATGCTTAATTTATCTTGTGAATCTCAAATTGTGTTCCTACTATTTTGTAATCTACTTATGCCCTACACCATTATTTTTAATAAATACTGGATGCGGGGCGTACTGTGGAATTGCACGATGCACCATAATAGGCAAACCTTAGACCTTTTGAAAAGCTTCAGTCTATGCAAATTCTTATAAAACTTGCAATTACCCCCTTTTTTTTTTCTCTTAAAGAGTTAGTATGGGAAGGCATTACCAGTTGACCTATGGTACATCGCTGATGTCCCCCATACTTTACCTTTACCTTTACCTCCCTTCGGCCGCTAGCATGGAATTCCACCATGTAGTTTTATTTGGAATAGAGTTACTTCGCCGTTTAAGTACTTTATCACAGACCGTCTACAATGTGTCCATTATCATATTGTATGTCGTAACGAGCTCTTCTTTATCACTTGCATTTTCAAAGGCTGCTACTAAATGAGAAACATGGGGCGTTAAAGAGCTGCCAAATTTCTGGGAATTTATAATTTTTTATTTTCCATCTATTTTTAACTGCGTATTGGTGTTCTAAGTCAATGTCGAAGCTAATAAAACGATGGTCACTTAATGATGGGCAATCACTCCAGACATTCCAATTGTTTGTTCTTGGGTAAATGGGAGTAGTTGCTAGTGTAATATCTGGTCAGCCCTCTGCCCGTGTGGTCCAGAAAGTTGGAGGACTGTCAGCTGAATTAACTATCGTCAGGCCATGGGATTTTATAAAGTCCAGAACTGGCACTGCTCTTCTGTTTTGTCTCCGTGTGGTTGATACTCTTCCTTATTCAACAAGGTCACCAGACCTTTCACCAATCGACAATTTCTGGGAGATGGTAGGTCGCCAGATTCGGGCACCACAAAATATCTCAGATGTGGAACGACAACTGATGAATGCTTGCAGAATGTGTCGCAGGATGACATTAGGAACCTCTGCAACTCCTTGCCTCGACGAATTCAAGCATGCATTGCCGCCAGGGACGGTTCGACCAACTAGTAATTTGAACAATGGGTGATTGTGAGCCGCGAACAGGTACTATGGCTTAAACTATGGTAAAAACTATGGTAAAACGATTTTTTAATCGTTTTATTATCTGTGTACGAGCTATACACATTGAATTTCATGAAAAACAACCACTTCCTTCATGGTGCTTCGATTGTTTTTGCAAAAGAGTGTATTATCAAAATAGATTTTTAGATATACTTCATAAATTGATATAACGCATGCTTTAATTCACCAGGATTAATTTCAAGTGCTTTAATTCACCAGGATTACGCCCAAGCAAAGTATCGTGTTCTAACATAAGCTATAAGCTATATCATAAGCATTTCTTTGGTCTGAATTATAGTTTGTTCAACCTAAATAATAAATAACTTGTACGTGAAACTTAATATTGTGTATATGTGGAATACTTTACAGAATGAATCTGAATTAAAGGCTTATTTTAAAATAAAAAAGAATACTGTTTTGTTGTTTGTATGATTCGTGTATCAGTTAAATTCTTTCCTTAAAACTTAGTTAAAAACTAACGTAATCTCATCAGATAATTCAATTTTGATATATCTTGGTTTAAAAAACTGTTTCTTTTTTTACACAAAAATATTATAAAAATTGCTTTCTCTCTCGATGTTTAACAATTTCTTCCCATACTTTCAATAAGTAATCCCATTTTTTATAAACTAAGCAGTTTCCAAAATTTACTTAAATAAATGAATACATCGGAAGCTTTGAATTCAAGCATATTACTTCACATTTCATCATAAAGAAAGAAAGTATATAAATAAGATTTCATATACTTACAATGGTTAATCATGTTTATTTTCAGATCTCTTGGAAAAAGAATTGACAGGAGAGGAACTTGATTACATTATCATGATTAAAAAAGTGTATAATTCCTGCATGGATGAAGGTAAGTCTTATTCGCTTTTAACATTTTGCCATTTATTAATTACGTGAAATCCTATGATCAAAATAATCAAAATGCCTTTTTCTGAGCTTTTTTAAAGTAAAATAATTATAAAAAAAAACTAGGAAGCAAACTTTTATTCTTCAATATGTATCGACTGTACACCCTTTTATACTAAACGGCATTTCCACCTGAAATAAAGAATCCCCTATTCAATAGCGACAAAACCTTAAATCGCATTAAAATACCTACCCGATAATTCAAGCTTCTGTTGAGTAAGAAAAACCTATGTTCTGTTTCTAAGAGAGAAACCTATGTTTTGTTTCTATACTTTGCCGAAAAATCATGGGCACCAATGCTGTGTTACAACTTCCTCTTAGGGAGGAAGCTAATGCAGAAACAGACAGGTGAAACCGCAACTAACTAAATATCAACTAAGAAACCAAACTCTTAAGAGTTTGCTAATTACCAAACTTTAAATGATCGTATAAGTGAATTTTTAATTGCGTTGTGAAAATGCATCCGGGATCGCGCCGTGAGAGGATCGAATAAACAACATGTAAAATCATTATATGTATAAGAAAAATATATAACAGATATAAAGAAAACATAAGTAATAGGTTTCCAGATTAAATATCAGTTTATTCAAATTCCTCACAATACAAATTAAATCTTATCCTAATCAGAGAGTCAAATTTCTTATTTGTGTTACATTTTCAATTTACTTATTTTAGACACAGGGAAATTCCTCAATTTGTCATTTACCTTTTGTTACATTTAAATTCATGATTTGCAAATCTATTACATGACTTTTTTAATTTAACGGGTACCCGTTCTATAATTTCTAAGAGGTTAAGGAAAACATATTATTTGCAATTCACATCTGTTCTAAGGAAGATTACACAAACAACTTAAATTATTACATCCTAATTCATATAAAAACCTTAAGGTTTGTCTCGGTAATTTAGAAGGGGAAAGGGAAACAATTGAAAGCCTGAGAATTAATTTAAGATTCGACGTTGTTATTTTACATTCCAAGGAAGTCGTTGAAACCTTACTTAAAGTTCAAACACAAAAAAATATAAACTTATCTTGTGGTGTACATCTTGAAGTGGAGGACTCGTATCCTAATAAGAGTTGATGTCGGCGGCGCTTATTCATGGATGCAAATGGAAGTTTCAGAGGACATCGTCCTGTCCTGGCACTATTGGCGAAACACACACGGCAGGTAACTGGTTTTCATAACGACGAAGCAATTTTCAGTCTGGAAATCAGAAACAGGAGCACTGCTGCCGGAAACGTCTCTCTAGGCAATTACAGCTCGCCTTCTCTCGCTCATCCCAAGAGCAAGCTCGAAGTTACAATCTTAGCCCAAAAGTAAGTAAGTTCACCCAGTAAGTGATTCCAAGAGTAGTGAGTAAAGTCTCTTCGCCTCTTAGTCAAAACGTGGCCGGGGAGCATGGTTGCCGCTCCCTCACCAGAAAATACATCTCTCTTCGTTAAATTACATCGTTTCTAACGCTCAACCCCAGAGCAAATTTCAAGAGTAACGTCCACAAGTAAGTTCCGCACGAAAAGTGATTCAAACTCGAATTTTCTTCCTCTCCTTCACAAACGCGGGCTCCCACTATGGCTTCAATTATCGCCCCCTTAATTTGGGCAAAATTTGCGTTTTCAACCCCTGAATGAGGAAATAAGGGTGAACGCGCATGCGCGCCCTTCTTCACTTAGCCAACAACCGGACCCTCAATCGCCAAAACCTGAATGACTTACATCGAAAGTTAAGTGGCAACCTCTGACCCTTCTGTCACGTACTTCCTGTCCTAAGGTCAACTGCACAATGAAATTTCTTCTAGAACATTCTAAAGGACAAAGCGCGCGAAATCATGACTTAGCAGAATTGCCTCCCTTTCCCTGCTTCTTTTCACAATGAATCAAAGCTTTTACAAAAATTGCAAATAAAAGAAATATAAATAATATCCTATAAACTAAATAATATTCCGAGAAGCATCTGTTTTTCCCCAAAATTAAAGCATTAAAATAAATAATTCAGAATCAAATAAAATTAAGATTTCCTTAAATCAGAAAATCATTCACCTAGTTTTTATAACGCGATCAGACAAATTCTCTACACAACACTTCTTTACCTATGTGGCGGCGCGGGCCGTTGCGATTTATAGCTCGCACAGTGCTTTAGGTGTTAAGGCAAAGGTTTGCTCGTTGCAACATCTATGGGCTGAATCAAAAGTGCGATGCGAGATGTCGCTTGGCTATAAAGACAGAACTTAGGTCCGTGACATGGGAGCGGAATCCTCTACTGTTAGGGCAAAAGAGTTCTTGTGCGCTAGATTTAAGATTTTCAAATCTTTCAGATTTCCGAGCGGTGAGTGGCTCCGTAGACGCTCACACTCTTCATCATGCTTGTATGGAATATTAAATTATACGCATTTTTCCTGCATTGCATTTACATTTATTGAATTGAATTAAATTTACTTCATTGATAGCGCATAAACCGCAGTAGAATAAATGCGCTTTTTAAAATTCACTATATTTATTTATCATAGCGATACTCTGGCGCTAGGTTCACTTAACAGCGTTATATCTCATTCTAACTCAGAAGGAAAAAAAATTATATCATCTGAAGAATTATTTAATCGTTGCCACATGTACTGTTCAAATAGTGTATTAAATCTAAAAGGATGTATAAAAGAAATTAGACAAAAAGAAATAGTTTTCACACACGGTTCAGCGCTGTTTACCTAATGTGCATGCGCTACTCATAAACGTCCTCTTCTGTTCGAGACAGACTGGCTACAGTATTTGCTGCTAATACGAAACATTATTTGCTCGAATTTCGTTAGAGATATATTTCTCATTCAATTAATTCAGTTCTCACTTCGCGGCAAGGCAAAAATAATGAAAACACAAAATATCTTCATTAAAAATTTAAAGATATAGAAAAACATAAAACACCAAATACAGTTTTAAAAAAATTAAAAGAAAAAAATTATTGTTCCTACACAAAAGCAAGAAATTCGTCCAGCGGGCTAGAAGACATATTTTTTGGTGCACAAAACTGAAAGTTTACTTTTGGTCTCCCTCAGCAAAAAAACACTGAAGGCGTAGAAATTGACTTAATTTGTTGTGGAAAACACGTTCAGTCATTTTTATAGGATAATTTAATAACTTAAATGATAATTCCAGAATAGATTAAGCATAATTTAACTCTCAATAATAAAAGAAGGCGTTACTTTGCTGTTACGCATGTCACGCAAAAACCTCGCTAAATTGCATTCGATAGAGGTCAAAATGGATATTTTCGTTAAAAATATGGTACCAAAAATTTTTCGCGATTACAATACTTCCTTTTTACTTCGTGCAAGGAAGTAAAAAGGGAAAGGAAAATTGGTTACTATAAAATTAAGAATTTCGCCAAGTAAATTATTCTTGGGAAAACTAAAAAAATGCGCAAAGGTAATTGTTTAAATTTCTCACTAAGTTTCGTATCAAATTTGACAAAAATTTAATATTTAAGCATAATTTGAGTCTTAGAATCGAAATATGTAAAACAATCAATATGTTATTTTGGAAAATGTCCGATTTTGTGTCAAAATACCTACGTTAGAATAATGCTATATATAATTCTAATATTCTAATTCGCGTTTAAACACAAGCTTAATTTCGTCAGTCGGCCCAGTAGAAAAGAGATACAAAAGTGGCCTTTTTTTGTACTTTGATGTGAAATATATATACTCAAAAATACATCATGCTACTATATATTGCACATCACACTTAAATCTGAAACTGTTTCGCTTAATTTAAAAATTGGTTTGTTTGATCAGTGATGTATTCTAAAAGATTTAGACAAATTTATTGAATATTCATGAATGATTCTATTTTTCCAAACATTAGTGTGGAAACACAAATGTGCTTTTCACTGAAGCTCTCACAAATCAATATAAGCATTTTCACGTGACAGTGTATAAAAAGCACAGTGAAATATTCATGTTCATCAATAAGTAGAATAAATAAAGCTAATGCAGACAAGCTCTTTAAATAACTATTTTCTAGAAAAAAGAAAAATATAAATTTAAAAGTATTTAAGGAGCAAGTATTTACAAAAATATTGCGCTAAACTCAGCAATCCGGCAAGATTGAGCCAGTCAATTTTTTTAATGTCAAGATAATTTTTCTTGTTGTTTAGGGTGGCTCTTCAAATAAAGTTTGTAGCCTTTTTTCGAATGAAATTACCATTTCCGACAACTATAATAAAAGTTAATTTATATTTTTGACAAACACAAAAACATTAGCGATTCAAGAATTTTCAGTTAAAATTTAAACTAGTTATATTAAAAAAATGCCACAGAATATGACCGGTTACTTCCTAATTTACGGCATACCATTAATAAATGGTGCCAAAATCGGCAATAATCAATTAAGTTAGTTTATTATTCTTAAGTACGCTGCGTACCAATAAATACCAGCAGGTGTAAAATTTGAAAAGTACAATAACAGACGTCCGTTAATATTTTAAAAATTCATACAGACTCTTTTGACAACTATTTAAAATTACGAAACAAAATGTGAGTTTAATTAAAAAAATATACTCAAAAAATAAAAGTCATCCGGTTTGTATGGTAAGTATGATCCTCACAAAGGTATACTTCTTTCTTAAATTCTACTAAATTAAGCTTCTTAAATTCTGCTAAATTTTTCAAATTCTACTAAATTAAGTGCACGGCGTTCATATGACAATTCAGTTGATAACATACTGTCAAAACTTCTAATACACCAGAATGCTATGTATCTTACTACGTTAAATGTGCGTGAAACAATTACCTGATGTATGGGTTTTTTAAGTTTATACAGGTAATCAGCCGCGGCCAAACGGCAAAATCGCTGAACACTTTTAGTTGGAGCCACGATCAAATACCTGAGAACCGGCTAAATGCATGAGATATTTGTGGTTTTCTTCAACAAACCGGGTATCCTTACAATGTCTTGCAAAATAGCAAATATCTTGTGCTTTACCATAATATAAATAATCCAATCCAATTTAAGTTACACGGTAACTACACTTATCTTCATATCCTTTCATGATTGCCAGGTGAATCTTTTTCTGTTTTCAATTTAGAATGTAATAACAACAACCATAATAATCAAGTAAAATATTTGTTTGTGCATCGGCTTGAACTCATATATACTAACTTGTTAACAGATATTGAACATCCTCTTCCTAGGGATAATGATACAATAATACTTCAGTATAAAATTGGAAAACGTATAGGTGTAATATATTGTTACGAAATGTATAGGTGCGGTAGGATGGCTTCCCCGCAAAGCAGTTTTAGGGTTGCCATAAATTAGAAGGAACACAGGGTTGCCACATTTGGCAAGAAATCGCCCATTTGGCGGCAAAATTGGCGATATGCTATGGACGGATGGAGAACCTTTTGGAACGAATTCTTACCGGTTTAGCCTAGAATGTTCTCGATCACAAGCCGAAAGCTATATAAACCCTGCTGGTCTGCAGTATGAGATAGTGTGTCTCATCTAGCTAGTCCGTGCGGAAACGATCCAGATGACAGCCGGTCAGCGAGTGCCGAGTGGGTCGTCGAGTACATCAAAGAATCTCTTTGTGTATCGCTGTTAGTGCATCGTCGAGAGAGTGTGTTAAGCTCCAAGAACGACTGAACCGAAGAGTCGGGAGCTGCGCTTTGTGTGCCGTCGAGTGCATCACGAGTTGTAGAGTGGAGAGTTTTGAGAGTACGCGGAGTTCCGAGAACGACGGAGCAGAGTCGGGAGTTGCACTCTGGTGCTTTGCAGTGAAGCTGTCTCCACCGCTATTGCCTGACAATGTGAAGGCTGTGTCGCTGAACGTGTCAGCGTGTTTATAACAGTTCGATGACTGTAAAAGTGATTTTGGAGCTGTCCTGATTAATATTGGTAAATAAAGTGTGTTTCGATATTCCATCAAGTGCTGCCGTCGTTATTCACTCCAAATCCACGCGAACCCCGTACGAACGTGAAGGAAGAAAATAACATAACAACTGGGGTGAGGAAAAAAAAGTAACAATATTTTGAATGAAGATTCGCCGATTTCGAGGGCGATCAGATACAGAACCCTCTCCTTCAAGAACGAACCCTTTAGTTGCTACTGAAAACTAAGGATTAATCAATAGGAAATAGAGCTATTTCTTGCGGCGATACTATAAGCAACCATTGGAAGCATAGATAAAATCAGTGTGCGATGGTGTCTTAGCGGAGGGACCTTTCTATACTTTCAACCATTCTTCACAATTCGTTCTCGCAGCGGCAATCATGTCCTACAAGTACTCGTTCGGTTTAAGATCTGAAGAACTCGTTGGCCGAGAAATGACTTGCAGTACTTGTCTACGGATGGTTTCCAAAGGAGGTCCGGCGTTATTTTTCTGAAAAGTAAACATTTACACTATTAAAAATTTACACTCGCGTATAATAGTGACCATCCATCTGTCCATGACGACGGTGCACCAAACCATCGTAACAGGAATACGTCTACATAGCAGTCTGAATAATAATCAATATTTCCCGGATAAATTTGAACAGCGGTTTGACAGTACTGATTTAAATCCATCTGATTTTTATACAGAATTACTTATTACTACATCTCCATCTACTTGCTTCGCGCTACAAATATTTACTGATGGATCCAAAACTGAACTAGGAGTAGGCTCTGCATGCTGTGTCTTCTCTAACAATAAACTAATCCATTAATGCATCCAGCATCTTTGCAATAATTGTTCATAGTCGATTTCCAGTAGTTCGCAATATTTATTACCTTCTCACTCACTTTACTCACATCCAATTACCCAAATTCAAATGGACAAAAGCCCATTCTGGACCGATAGGAAAGGAAATATCTGATGAACTAGCCAAACAGGCTATCCGTCTTTACCTCAACATTTCCTACCAAATCTTTTATCTTACTTAAACAATAAACTGGAAGAAGATCTACTTGACCTCTGGAAACAGCAATGGACATCGAAAAATACAAACAGAAGAGCTTTCCTATTCCTACCGGTACGGGCAAGAAAATTATTATCCTCCAATAGAGCAATCACTAACTTTTTGTCCTCACATGGTCTTTTTCCAGAATATTTTAACAGATTCGGTCACCATCACTCAAACCTATGTATCTGCAGACATATTGGCACTCTTGATCACTATCTATTTAACTGCAAAATCGCAAAGGATCTTCACCTCAAGCCATTTACCACAACATCAGCACACCTGCGGTTCAAACAAAATACTAAAAAGCAACTTCCTTCGCAATAAACTTCAAAACATCATAAACTACTTATCCATCGAGTGTAAAAATTTAAAAGCTCCATAAATATGATTCAACAGGCGTATTCTGATCTAAATAAACTATGGACTTATTCTTAAACTATGGACTTCTACATATGGACATTCTTGTACATTCTACAAGATATGGACTTTTACATATATTTATATGTTGACCTCTTCATAGACTTTACATTTTTATTTTATTTTTCTTTTAAAGCTATCTATGTTTAAAGTTGTATATTCAACATTTCTAATTACTTATGTTTTGTACATTAACCAATTGTAATGTAACATGTACTCTAAATTGTTATAATTATTGTTATAATAAATGCCACTGAGCAGGCAGATGCTGGATGGTACCCTTTTTAAAAATGTTTTTATCTATAGAGGGTCTCAAGTCAGCGGCTAATAGACCTCTGAGAGCAATCTTAAAGCATCTAGGAGGGTGGCCAGTGATACAAGTAAGAAGGTGGAACTCGGCAAAGTTTGACTGGATTGATACTTTGATTAAAATCCGCAATCTGGGCTACAATCACGATATTTTTATATCATTATCTGTTACGATGGACAACGAGAATAACACGGCGAACATTATAAAGGTGAGCATACATGTCTTATCTATATTCCATTTTCAAGATGTAATGTAGTAAACAAAATGTTTTATTTAAAAAGCAAGACTAAGAACTAATGAGTTACTAGTGAGATTATAGACGATAATAGAAGAAAATTTAAAATATAGTGAAAGACGTTTATCTCGTAAATACTTTTCGAAACTGCAGATTGGTTATTTATTCATTCAACACTTCGAATGCAGTCAGTTTGAGCAAGCTACGTATTCAGGTGATCCATAAAAAATATTCACAGCTATTTCGTGGATATTTAAATCTTTAAATCTTTTTAAGTAAATAAATAAGTAAATATTTTCTCTGTTCAGTGACTACATAATCAATGATGAAATACTATCATGGCAATTTTTTTTCTTATTATTTTTCTTTGCCAATTTGAACAGACTTCATACTCTAATTTATAATACCTGTGGGACTTAAACTGGTAGACTTATTTTATGTGCTTGACTTAAAAATGTTTCAAAAGATGAACAGAAATCTCCATATTAAGATAAACTGAAATTTAGGTTAAAATAACGCGCCGAACAATGATTATTTTAGAAGCCAAACAACAGAAATAAGCGTTGTATTTGCGAATTTTCCAGGACTAATTTCGATGGTTTGACTACCGAATCAACTTCCTCAGCTGTCAAAGTGCAAATGAACGAGATAAATATGGTGGTAAGATAAGGGAAGGATGGCTGGGTAGGAGTTAAGCTATTGGTGTCATCTATTGATGGAACAGGAAAACAAAAACATAATATTTTTAAAGGCTGAAGATAAAAATGGCTTGGAATTAGAGTCGTTAATCAGAACAGAAAGATTTTTTAATGTGAATTGCCTTATAGAAAATATAATTCACCAATGGAAGATGATTTTTGAATAATTTTGGCTGAGGAAAATTGGAAAGTGAGATTTTCGGACCAACAGTGCTGGGTAACAGAGGACTTCTGCGTTGGCTTTTTTCTAACTTATGTCTCATGTTCTTCAACTCGAAATTTTAAGCTGTCATAGTTTGACCAATGAAAATTAAACCACATTGAGAAGGAATTCTGTAACAACTCCAGGATATGAATTCCGAAATCCATATCTGCAATGGGGTCCTTAAGTATTGAACTGAGATTTTATTGATAAGAGAATAAATGACGCTAAAGTTAAATTTCTGTAAAATATGTGCAGCTTTATATCTAATTGATGAAAATAAAGGAATGACAACAGAATTCTTCTAATCTTCTAAGACAAGAGTGTGCCTTTTGGAATGTTGAGATGAGAATTTATTAAATGCTCGGTTAATAATTTTGGGTGAAATGCCCTTGTCAATAGCAACTGCTGTTAAATAATTTAATTCTTCATCAAGAGCCAATTAGGAGTAGTAAACTTGACAAAAGAATTAAATGAAGCGAACATCTGTTTAGTGGGATGACATGATTTGAAGTGTGGTGGAAAGCAAACCGATGCATACTCGTTCGTTTGTACTTTGACAGCTGAGGCAGATGGTTGGATAGCCAAACCATCGAAACTAGTCCTGGAAAATTTGCAAATATAACGCTGATTTTTGTTGTTTGATTTCTAAAATAAACTGAAATGTCTTTATGTGTTTTTCAATTTCAGTACATTTATTTTAATTTTCTAAATTTTATTTATTTATTTATATTTTTATAATTAAGTGATAATCTCTTCGAGATGTTGGGCTACGGCATCGAACTATCAGCTCCAAATTTATTTTCCAGATTGAAACAGACAAACATGTAAAACAGAACTCTGAATATCATTATTCTCATTTAACACTTTTCATCGTTTATTCTCGAGCTCGATTTTCACACAGCATTTTCGTGCACTGCAGTGTCGCTGGAGAAGACTTTTAAGAGTACGTCAATTTAATTTCCTTGCATAAAATTCCTGTTTAATTTTTATGAAGTAATCGCAAGCCAGCAATAATTTAATAATGCAGCATATTCAGGATATTAACACTACTAGATTATCAGATATGTCAAATTACCTTGGTTAAAATTTCATAATGCCGAAAAATTATTGTTTTCAATCACTGAATGTGTTTTATGGTGAAAGAGGAATTTTCGAGGAATTCAAACTTTCGAAACACTGATGAAATTCGAATATTTGCATCATTCTAATAAGTTAGTTTAATTGAAGCAAGCCTAGTTACCATGGACAGGTACAATTATTAACATTAAAAACAGTGCATTATTACTTTGATTGTCACGTAAAATCCCAGATCCTAATTACGGAGAGCTATGGACATAAGTTGCATTTTGAGAACAAATTTCAAAATTATTGGTTTGCGATATAGCGATTGCTAAATTTTTGCGAACATATGTTATACTACATTTTTTATGATATGATGGTATTTTACAACGATTGTGATAATATTTGGCTAGTTTTGTAAATAGTGTCAACAAAATACATAATTCCTGCTTAACTGTAAATCCAATTCATGAAATTATGTGTCAACAGTAACCTATTACGTTTTACTTACCAGTAATGTATTCCATATTGGAATATTGCTGATTTTAGACTATGCAGCCATTAATTAAGGCAATACTGAGAAGGGTGTCAAAAGCATTCAAGTTTAAACCTTTTTCGATTCCTGAAAATGCCGATGGAAAACTAGCATTTCATGGTAGTCAGTTTTTAACAAAATTGAATGATTTCTGTTCAACATTCGAAATAAGTTCAAAATTCTGAAAAGTTGCTATTTGAAAAACGATAGGGCTTGCTTTCTAGAAGTGTATAAAATCACTACTGTCCATGGACGGTTAGTTAATAAAAATCGTAAAGTGTTATATTAATTAAGCCATTAGTTTGCTTGCAAATTAGTTAGTGGATATAAGTGTAGAGTTCTGAGTTTGAAAGAGAACATATGACAGCCCTCGCTGACATGCTACTGTATGTAGATCTCCTTGAATTTAATTATCGGCTTTAGCTTCGGCAAGCCGCATTTGCTTTGCGAATACTTAGGGCCCGAGCGAGAGCGTACGTTTTTGCTTGCTAATTTGCATTTCAAATTTTCAACGTTTGAACGCGTGTTTAGCATTTCCCGTAAATTTCAGAGAAAATTTCTCTTATTGTATGAATTTTGTGTATTTGTCAGCCTGACTTGTTAAGAAATAGATTTTGTTAAAAACTTCATTTGATTTTGTGTTAACAAGACCTAGAAGGAAAGATGGGACAAGTCGTAAGTCTGTCTTTACGGTTCTAGTACTTGGCATTTAAAGTAGTGTGGCATCGTAAACTATTGATTGTATTAATCTTAACACGGAAAAAGTTTTGAATCTTTTATCTCTTACCAATAGTACTTATGTTTTCTTTTTTTCAAGTTGGGAAAACCATCATTTGGAATGGATAGTAGATATTTGTTGCGTGGAGTAACTGATAAATCCGTTAGAGATTACGTGCTCTCCATGGAAAAATCAGCAGACGAACTCGGTGCATATAACTTACCGAAAAGTCCAATTTACAAAGCATTCGAATTCGAAGTTATGCTTGCCAATGTAAGTATTGAAATTTGTCATTTCCCTTTCAATCCAATTTTTTTACAGATTTTTTTTTTTTTTTTTTTTTTTTTTTTTGTATTTCTTCGTTGTATACCGTAGTATTAATTCATTTTTTTATCTGTTTATTTCTTTCGTTTTATGCAAGGTAACTTTTTTCACTCATATCTGCTCAACAAAATGTATGAAATAATTAGAAATTTTTCATTTGAGTATGAATTAGACAAGGAACTGCTGAATATTTTGCATGCAGTTAGGAACTGTTCCTGATATAGGATGGATGCATTTAGGAAATTGTCAAATCATATAGAGCCTAACACGGTCCCACCAGTGGTCTAGTAGTTAAGACTGTTGAATACTGATATTTCGACCCAGGCTCGAAACCAGATAAACGGGGTGTTTGCCATGTGTACCTTTCGTGATTTTGCCCACGTGCAACGTGAGTACGAGCGACTTGCATTCCGAAAGTCCTCCACGAAGGCATCGTCTTCTTAGCCAGTTAGCACACTTGGATTTTGTTATAATCTAGCGCAAATATCATGCGTATTCGCATTAATTGCAAAGAGACTATGAAATTAAAACTATAGCATTTTATAATTAATACGTAAACAATTTTGGCAGAGTTTTAAAGGCATTGTACTTTCAAAATTTTCTTCAGCGCTCCATTGGTTGAATGAGTCAGCAAAAAAAGTACGGTATTATATCTTTTCTCTTACGCAAAAATGCAATAAACAAAGCAATACACTCTAAATGTGAATTATTTTATTTGCAAAATTTATTATTTTGTAATATATAATTAATTCTAAAAAAATAAGACATTTGAATTATACACAAGTCTCCTAAATACTACTGTTAAAAAATGAACAGTTAATTATGCAGATACCAATTAAACTGCAATTTTACTTAACTTTAAGTACGTACGCAACCTAAAATTCTATACGTTTTTCGGTTGGACTATCGCAAATTCCCGAAGAGGGTTTTATTTTAGAAATTTATCATTTAATAATACAGGGCTAGTATAAATGTTTCATCATTTTTAAACCGCTCTAATTTTAAATTTTATGCACATAATAATAATAATTAATACATGAAAAGAATTGGAAATTCACTAAATTCTTCTCAGACAAGTAAAAATATTCTTTAAGCGCCCACTGGTCACAAGACACACACACCAAGTAGTTGCTGGCTGTTACCGTAACGTGGTGGTATAAGTGGTATAAAAGGCGTACTACCTCTGTGATTGAGACCTGTAAGCCGTTGGTGGTAATTGAAAGAACTGCGTGCCAAACGCATAAATACATTCAACGAAACCTTAGTTTGGCATACTTCACCGTCTGGTGAAACAGATGAAGGCTACGTTGTACACAAAGCTGGAGAGGAAAAATCGCTGTGCAAAATATGATGATGCATTCTAAGCAACTAACTATTCAATGATGTCAAAGACTTGCAAACAGAATTCTAATACGCTACTTGCTGCTTTCCATTGCTTGAATCCCTGGACAAGGCGTCTCATAGCTGCGAGTTCAGGAGTTTTTTCAAAGGCGTGAATATTCCGATTTTTCTTTCTGCGGGATTTTCATGCTTTTGAAACAGTTCGCAAAGCTTTTTTTATTTTATTCCTGGTTTTCTATCTCATTCGGTCTTAGAGACGGCGAGGAAATCTTCTGCCGTGGGAACTTTCTGTTCACAGGAAGTAGTGTTTTTCGTGCTCACGATTTTACTGTTCACAGGAAGTAGTTTTTTTCGTGCTCACGATTTTACTGTTCACAGGAAGTAGTTTTTTTCGTGCACATCTGAGGTTATGTTTTGTTGCTGTATTCTTTGCCTTCACAATACGAACTTATATGTTCTTTGGACAGAAAACAATTTTGAGATTCTCAGCTGTGTATGTTGTAATTTTTGTATCCTGTGGCTTTGGGCACATTTTAGGCATCGCGGTGGGCTGAAGCTACGTAAGAATGTATATTTTCAAGTTCAATCAAACAACTTTATTAATTAAGCAATAACACCCCTTAATATTAATTCCATCGGCATAGGAGCAGGTTGGGTGTGGTGAGTTCGTGAATAAATATACAACTTCCGTCTTACGTTGGTTACTGACCAAGTGAATTGGCACTTGATAAGAAAATCATTGCATTTCAAGGTGTTTTTATTAAGCAGAACTACAAAAGCGGAGCTCCATGTCAACGATGCAACACTGTACGCGGTAATGAGAAGTTGTCGTGTTCGGTTGATACCTTTCATGGTACTGTCCCCTTATCACCTGATTTAATATCACATGAAGTCTTCCTTTAGAAAAATTCATTTCATTGCCAAATAATATAGTGCACTTTACAGAATACATCAAATGGGCTATGATGACACTGGATAGGGAAAGCTCTAAAACGCGTGTAGTGAACTTGTAAGGATCTTAAATTTTACTAACGTTTATTTTATTTTAAATCTTTAGTATCACTTCTTATTTTCTACTTCCGGCCAGAATTAAAAGCTTTAACTTATTTATGCAAATTTGTCTTGCGAACGCCAAGTACTTAAGTTGTGGCTTTTTGCCAAGCAAGAGAGAGGAAGGAGTGATTAGGAGCAGGCCGCTTGCCATAGCAGTTTTACTCGGTTGCTGGTTGCCTTCAAGGCCAGAGGTTTAATCCTCTTGATAATTTTAAACGTATCGTAGTGTTAACAGTTCTCTGTACTACATACGGCCTTTCTGTTAATATACGGCCAATCTTCAAGTAGACACTTGTTTATTAATCCAAAGTTAGCTTAGTTAGAATTTAGTTAATATTTTTATATTCTTACGTTCAGACCACAAGTGGTTGGTCTCTGTATTCCGAAGTCCGGAAATCATTGTAAAGAGAGAAAAATAAAGGGTTTCGTATACCCTTCCTGTGTATCTTGTCTACTTCCCACATTTATTGAACATAGCTTTAGTAAGCTCCCTGTTCCGAGTCAGGTCATTTAATGTTCCCAAAGCCAGTAAGGAGGAACATAGAACCTGATAAACTCAACATATTAACGTGTAGCTGACACATATAGAATATAAATAACAACTGGAAGGGCCACATAGAATATGTGAAATGCGCGCAAAATACTTTTTGAGTTTCTTATTCTTTTCAAGTGTCAATATTTATTTAGGCGCAACTTAACTAAAAACACTATATTATTTTGAAACCTGATGAATGTTAGACAGTAGATTTTTAAGATGCATTAAATTTTGAATACATGTATCCTCTTTCGACGAATAACTAAAACTAGTCTACGTAAAAGTTGTAGATAATTTAATTATTTTTTCCTTTCCAGAATTATATATTAAACGTAGAGTTTTTTAAAATTTTATTTTTGCAATTTGAAAAATTTTCATCATACTGAATAAAAATCATTAGTATATATACATATCAAATTTAAATAATACTTTGAAGCAGAAATTATATAAGTATTTCATGATAGCAAACAAATAAAGGATTGAGTAGGAAGAGTTAAAAATATTCTGAGTATTTAACAGTAGTAAGCTTCCAATTCTCTAATGAATGGAATACTCGAACGCGTGAAACTCGCTACGGTATGAAGTTCATAGGAATGAAAATGGGAGAATTAAAAGTTGGAGAATAAATCTAAATTTAAAGTTGTGTATATATTTAGAGACTTGGTGATAAGATTAAACGAAAGTTAAATAAAATTAAATAATCAATAAATAATATTAAATGAAGATTAAACGAAGGTGAATGACTTATTGTTTTATTTTACAACACAAATTCTGGGCAGCAATGAGCAGTATAGATACATAAAGCACACAATTAATCAAAAACGTCTCTTAACACAATGTTTCGGGTAAAAACATTGCTAAATATTACTGAACATTAGTGAAATATTGATTAGCTGAGCACGTTTACTCCACGCACACTTTTTTCTCGTCGCCTCTCCTGTTATAAGATAAAAGGTTGTAGGGTTTATATTTATTTCAACTAACATTTATTTTAAGTTTAAACTATCTTTCCTGTCAAGCCTTACTTTCCCCTGGAACTGCCAATGCCAGAGTATGTAAATTTTAGTAGAACGCGCAAGGATTCAAATTATCAGCGGAAGTATTCTGAGTTAAATAGAAAGGAAACGAGTTCGAGATGTGCTGTTCTTACTTCACGAGCGCGGAGGTAGTTAGCCAGAAATTGAAGAACTTTGCGTTTCGGCCTGTGTGCTTGCCTCGGAGAATTGTTAATCGTTCAACGTGATATTCAAAGTTAGCTGAATTAGCAGCGGTATTGTAAAACGCGGTGAGGTTGGTTACGTTTAGAGAGCCTCGTAGTTAAAGTCTTGTTATTATTTCTTTTCAGGTTCTTATTTTTATTTTACCGCCGGGTCGGCGTAGTTTGTAAGCGTCAAGAGCACGAAATTGTAATTTCTTAAGTTAAATAAAAAGGGACTTAAACCCTTAGCAAGACTCTGTCTATTTTCCAGTTTCAACAGTCACCTCTTGGTTGCGTGCAAGTTGGAGGCGCGCAACGCTACATTGGCGCCCGAAAACTTATCGAACTGAAATGGCCGAAAATTGGATGGAAGCCGCTGGACAACACCAAGAAATGACAAGCCAATTGGAAGGATTTGGATACCTGGTCCATACTTTGAGAGCGTCAATCAAGCCAAACGTCCATTTCGACGGAAAAAATTCGGTGGCGGTATTTCTAGAAGGTCTAGAAAACCACTTTCAGCTCTACCTTGTTCCTGAAAGACAAAAAAGTTGCCATCGCCACATCCGCACTAAGAGGACAGGCCGCGCTATGGTGGAAAAATATAGGCAAATTTTTATTAGGGGAATTTGGAAGCCAGACATATACATTTGAAAATTTCAAAAAATCGTTAGTAAAGGCCTCCCCATAGTGAAAGATCGAGCAACGCTGGAAGCCGAACTATATAGTTTCTATCAACGGGATATAGAAGAGTTGTCGGACTTTATCCTACGAAAAATTAAGCTGACGGATATGCTGTATGGAAAGAAACCCGATGCGGAG